AACTTCCTACCTCCTTTTTTCCCCCTGAAGTGCTTTGGGCTTTGTATGGAAAAAAAAAATTGCCTGAGATGTTTATTAAAAAAAAAAAATCACAGTGCATCCTGGGTAATGTTTTGCAGCTTGACTTAATTTTAGTCATCTGTTTTAATTACCTATTTATAAAAATGCTTTTGCATTTGTAGACATTATTTAATACTTTGGAAAAAGCACCTCATTTGAAATAAATAAATAAATTGTACTTACTTTAAATAGTCCGTGTAAAAGACCTTAAAGGTAATTAATGTAGGTCTCTTAAGTAAGACAAAAGTGATCTTTCCAAGTCTGATGAAGTGATTTGTTTATTTAACTTCCTACTTCGGTGGAATCCTTCAGAGTCTAATAACTTTTTTAAAAACATGCTTTGGCAATTTGTGTCTAGCTGGAAAAACCCTTCTTCAAAAAGAAGCAATTTAATAACCAGCTTTCTTAAAATTACTTTGAGGAAGGAAAACTGTATAGGGGGTTGGTGTTTGTTTTATTTTTATTTCAGTGTAATCATTCTTTGATGAATTGTGTAATCACTGACTTAGTAGAAAAAATATTATTGAACTCCTGGGTTACAATGACCATAAAAACTGTATTTTCATATAGAGACTTGAGATATTGTGAATAAATTATAAAGGAAACAGCTTATATGCTGGTCAAAGTCCGTTTGGGCACAATTTGTTTTGTGTTCAGTGCTTAATCTGGATATACCATTAAAAAAAAACATTTTTTAAAAGGGCTGTGGTACCCAGTTGTATGAGTCCTTAAAAAATCTGCCCTAAGAGCAACATGGAATGAGATCAGATACAGCTTTGCATCTGTTGAATGAGATTCGGTAGCAACAGTGTGGCATTTTTAAAGCCCAGTTCCAACTTCCCTAGATGTGGCTTTGTAGTTTGCTTTTTCTATCCTGTGTTCTTGCTGGCGATTTGATTTGATGTTACCATATATCTGAAGGTCCCTGTATCCCCCTCCCCATCCCCCAATCACTAGCCATTTTCATTATACTATATCTTGTTTTGCTATAGGGCTGCTGAACAGATTTCTTAAGCAGCTTTTTGCAAGGTTAAAAGAATGCAGCCTGGTAACAAGTTTGTGTCATTTTAAATATATACCTTCTAGTAAATAAGGAGAAGTCTGGCAATCAGTCCCTTTTAGTGTGTTATATGTTTCACCTGACAACTAAACCTTCTATTGATTAGCCATTACTTTGTTAGATAATCCTATGTCATTGAATCCATTGTAAAAAATTAAACTCTTTAAAATGTTTTACCCTACCAGCAGTGTGAAAATTGAAAACTTGTTCAGAATTACAGCCTACTTTCACAAAGAAGGTAGTTTTCAACAAGGCATCTTACTGGTTTATGCTTATGTGCTTTATATGCAATATAAAAACGTATTAAAATACTCCAACGCAAAACTCTCTGCCTCTGGTTCAGCAATGGAGCTACCTTTTCAAATGTTGCATGGGGACAGAACCTATCTTGCCTATGGCTATTATACTCACTAGTTTAATGTGAGCTAGAAGGAGTCTTGTAATAGTGAAATACTGATTGTAAAATATTTAATTTTTTATTCTTTTTATTCCAGAGTGATCTAAGGGCGGTGACAAGCTTTAGTTTACTAATCTAGGTAACTTCCTTGGGAGATAAATAAGAACATGTACCCATTTTACAGATGGAATGTCTAGAAAATAAAAGCCTGTATATATAGCCTTACTCTGAAAACTCCTGCAGGTTTCCTGAGTCTAATTTTCCCCTGAGTATGTTATACTCATTTCTGAGAGGAAAAGGAATTTTGGAGAAAAACAAATTAGTCTTCTACCTTCCATGACTTATTTTTCTTCAGAAAACTAGAATGACATTTTTATTAATTAACTGGACAAACCTCTAGTACTTTTATCCCCTGAAATATGAGCTGCATACTTTAATATTTTTATTGAAATAAAATTTTCATACAGTGAATTATAGAGATATTAATTGCATAAGTCAATGAATTTTTGATAAGTCTTTCCACCTGTGTAACCAACCCACCCCAATCAAGCTATGGAACATTTTCATAACCCAAGAAAGTTCCCTTGGTTGGCTTCTTCCCAGTCAATTTCCCCACCCACAATGAATCAAACATTGATCAGCTTCTTGTTATAGATTAGTTTTGCCTTTTCTTGAATTTTATATGATAAAATCATACATTTTGCATGTCTCACTCAACATGTTTATGAGATTCATTTATGCTGCTGTGTTTATCAGCAGTTTATTCTTTCACAGTATATTTTATTGAATAAATATTCTACAGCTTGTTTTCCATTCTTTTGATGGACACCTGAGCTAATTCCATTTTTATAAATAAAATTGATATGAATGCTCTTTTTTGAGGGGGAAGGGGAGGTTTATTTACTTGTATTTAGGTTTATTTATATTTATTTGTTATTTCTAAGGGAGGTGCTAGAGATTGAACCCAGGACCTCGTGCATGCTAATCGTGTGCTCTACCACTTGAGCTATATACCCTCCTCCCTTCATGGTGTGTTTTGATGAGACGTTTCTAATTTTTGAATGAAGTCCAGTCTATCAGTCCTTATCCCATGATTGTGAAGATATTCTAGGTTTTGTTTTAGAAGCTTTTTAAGTTTTAGTTTTTACCTTTAAGTCTGATCCATTTCAAATTAATTCTTACATGTGCTATGAATTGGATTTTGGGGCTCATTGTTTTCCCCATACTTTTTTATTCAGTTGTTTTGGAACTATTGAAAAGATTTTCCTTTCCTCCATTGAATTACATAGGTGCCTTTGTTAAAAATCAGTTGGCGGTTCAAATGTAGTCTATTTCTGAACCTCATGGAAAAGAGGCTGTTTGCTGCCTGTTGCAGAGCAAAGGGTAACAGTGACGGAGGCACTAGCTAACTCCTACTTCAAGTCCCTGCATGACACAGAGGACAAGCTCAGGGTCCTCTGTCTTTTTAGAAGCATCTGTCCTTGCACCAAATACTACACTGTCTTGATTACTGTAGCTTTAATAAGTCTTGAAATCAGGTAGTATGAGTCCTCCATATTTTTATTTTTGATATTGTTTTGACTATTGTAGACACTTTGCATTTCTATGTAAATTTTAGAATCAAGATAGAATTTCTATTAAAAAGAAATCTGTGGGTGTTGATTTGGATTTTCTTTTTTGAAACTACATATCCATTTGAGTAGAATTAACCTCTTAATATTGAGCCTATCAGTCTGCAAACGTGGTTTATAACTCTTGTCTTTTTTAGTTTTTCTAAGCAGTATTTTTAGTTTTCAATGTGTATTTATTGCACATAGTTAGCTACATTCCTAAATTTTTAATGTTTTTTGTTGCTGTTGTGAATTTTTCTCATTCTCTGATTTTTTTGTTAGAATATACATACATAATTGGTTTTTGACTGTTTACCTTGTTTCCTGTCATTTGTGAATAGAGACCATTTTATTTCTTTTCCAACCTATTTGCCTTGTTTCTTTTTCTTGCTTTATTTCAATGGCTATAGCCTCTAATACAACGTTTAATAGGTGTGGTAAGTGGACATCTTTGCCTTGTTCCCAACTGAGGGACGGTATTAAGTCTTTCACTACTAAATATGTTGTTAGTTGAAATTTTTTAGGTGCCCTTTGTGGGACTGAGAAAGTTACCTTTTATTCCTAGCTTGCTGAGGTCTTTTTTTTTTTTTTAAATCATGAATGAGTGTTTACTTTTGTCAAATGCATCCTCCCTCCCATTCTGTTAATATGGAGAATTACATTAATTGACTTTATTAAGAACTTTTATGTCTGTGTTCATGAGGGATATTGGTCTGCAATTTTCTTTCTAAAGTCTTTGTCATGTTTTGGTGTCAGGGTTATGTTGGCCTTATAGAATGAGTTGAAAAGTCTTTCCTTCCTCCTCCATTTTGCAGAAGTGTTTGTATCTCATCCTGGTGTTATTTCTTCCTTAATATTTAACAGAATTCACCAGTGAAACTGTATGGGCCAGAAGTTCTCTTTGTGGGAAGAAGATTTGTTTAAATGTTAAATTTATGTGGAATGGTTTTTAATAATTTCAGTAGATACGGAGGTATCTAGATTTTCTATTTCGTATTGTGTCAGTTTTGGTGATTTGTGTCTTTCAAGAAATGATGTACTGTTTTATTCAATAGATAATTTATTAATATCTTTTATTTTAATACTCTATTCCATGTTGGGCAAATGAGAGGTCATTTATGTTGGCATCTGTGCCACTCTGACATATGTCCATCATTCCCTCAGTATTTCCAGGTTCATCTTGTGTTTTCCCTGTCCGGTTCTAAAATCAACAATTTCTCCATGGCGCTATGGTTCCTTTTAGTGCAGAATGGTATTTAGAAGCCAAGATTTAAACATTAACTCTTATTTTACAGCTATATTTATATATTTTGAAAACCATGAGTTCACATTGATACCTCCAGTTCCAATCCAGTACCACAGAGTTTGTTTTAAATTTCTCCCTTTTCATATTTGTAATTCTCTTTTCTAATAGTAAGAAACTTGGTTTGAGTTTTTTCCTTTCAGCACTTTAAAAATCTTGTTCCCTTGTCTTCTGGCCATCATTGTTTATGGTGAAAAGTTTAGCGTTATTTATATTGTTTTTCCTATGAATGTAGAATCCATTTTTAATTTGGCTGCTTTTATAGTTTTGTCTTTGTTGTTGATTTTCAGCAGTTTTGACTGTTGGGCCTAGGTCTTGTTTGTTTTTTGTATTTAATCTCCCTGAAATTCACTAATCTTAGGTCAATAAGCCAGTGGTTTTCACCAAATTTGAGAAATATTTGATCACTATTTTTATAACTTTTTGTGCCCAATTCTCACCTCTCTTCAGGGTCTTCGGTTACACGTACATTAGATCATTGAAAGTTGTCCCATGGACGACTGAGACTCTGTTCATTTTTTTTCTTTTACTTTATCTATTCTTCAAATAATTTCAGTTGATCTGAGGGGGGAGGGTATAGCTCAGTGGTAGAGTGTGTGCCTAGAACGTACAAGGTCCTGGGTTCAATCCCCAGTACTTTCACTAAAAATAAATAAATAAAAACTTAATTACTGCCCCCCCAAAAGAAAAATAAAACAAAATCAATTGATCTGTCAATTTTAAGTTCATTGGCCATTTCTTATAGTATGTCCAATCTGCTTTTAAGCCCATTCAGTACATTTTAAATTTCAGGTAATATAGTTTTCCATTCTAGAGCTTATGTTTTATTCATTTTAGTTTTTCATTTAATTGTAAAAATTTCAGTCTGACTACTCATTGTGATCATATGATTAAGTTGTTGGACATATTTATTATATAACTTCCATAGAGCCTTTATGTGCTGATTCCCACAACTAGATCATCTCAGGGTCATTTTCTGTGGGTTTCTTTTTCTCTTGACTATGGGTCCCATTTATCGGCTTCTCATGTCTAGTAGGTTTTGACTATATAATGGACATTATAAACAATACATCATGGAAACTCTGGTTTCTTTTATCTTTCTCTAATTAACTTTCTGACTTCACAAAATCTTGGTTTTATGTTTGTTAGGGCAGGTGTTTTGGTATTGCCTCTAGTCCTGAGGCACATCCCTTAGTTCTAAGACTTACTCTTTAGTCTAAATGCAGGGTTTTTCTAAGTTTTTGTTGAAAAGTTTGAGATGCTTAAGTCCCTCTAACTTAGTAGGAATCAAATTGTAAACCCTGTCTCCCCTCATGGGCAGTCACTGGAATCTCTGCTCAGATCTTTCAGTCTTCTAGCTATTACTTTCCATTGGAATTTTTAGAGTCTCCCATTCATGTAAGTAGTTTGAGGGTTAGCCACAGTTTTGAGGGAAATAATATGCATGTTTGGATGCTTCTTCCCTGCTCCATGGCTTTCTATTTTCTATTTCTTTTCTCAATTTCCTTCCACTATAGCAGCCCTGAGCTCCATCATTTTACATCTCAAGCCAATAGACTATGGCTTTCTAATTGAATTTTACTCACCCTGCACCAAGTAGACTGGTGAGTACCCTGAGGGAAAAAGCACATGAACATGGAACTCACCCAGTGTAATTCTCCTCTTTCAAAATCAGTCCATTTCTCCCCCCAATTTCTGCCTACTTTTGGTCAATCTCTGCTGCCTTTATTATTGTAGAATTTTTTTCTGTGGTTTATAATTTTTATCTTAGAAGGGTTAATCCAATGTAAACATCTCTGCCATTATTGGAACCAGAACTCTTTGGCTTAAAGTTTTATTTTATTCAGTATATACCAGTTGCTTTGTAAATGTCTTAAAAACACAGTAAGTTTTATTTTTTAAAAATTGTTTTGTCTGTACATGAATAGTAAACATTTATGGTGTTAGTAGTTGTAAAAGGAGTACTGAACCCTGAGCCCAGAATATACCTGTACCAATAGTCTCTGTACACAATGTCAAATGATCCAATTTATTCTTTGAAAATACATGTTTTTTTGAAAAAAATAAAAATAAAAAATATGTTTTGAAATAATTTCAACTTAAAACAATTATATGGATACATTTTTTAAAGTTTAACTTGTTTAAGTGATAAAACAATTTTGTTATTTTTCCGCCATTTTCTCAAATTTTATTTTTATCTTTTTCCAGAGATTGATAATTTACCAAAAATGAATTATTTAAAATGCTTATGCATCCATTGCTGATATAAATAAATACATGAATATATAAATAAATAGGGGGAGAAATCATAGCTCTTCCTTACAAAATTCCAATCAATAAATATAGAAGGAAAGAGAAATTTAAAATTCATCATTAGAACACTACAGAAAAATTACCATAGGCAAGATCCACCAACAGATGCTGAAATAAGCAGACAAAAGTTGAAGCAGAAACAGATTATTTGTATAGACATAAATTATTTTCCCCAATATATTTAGTGTTTCCTAAAGGAAAAATAATAAGCTTATAATGAAGAATTTTGGCAGACACAGCTGTAGGCAAGTGATCAAGGTTAACAACACCAGAAATAACAACGTATACCTCCTGTCTTGATACATTGAGAAGGGCACATCGCCTCTGTGGTATCCTTCCCAATAATGTATAATCTCAGTCTGATCATGAAAAAACACTAGACAAACCCAAATTGAGGAACAGTCTATAGATTAATCAGTACTCTTCAGAAATCAAAATCATGAAAGACAAGCAAAGACTGAGGAATTGTCACAGACTAGAGGAAACTAAGGATACATGACAACTAAATGCAATGTGGGATCTTGGATTAGATCCTGAACAAAAAAAGGATGTTAGTGGGAAACGTGGTGAAACTTAAATAAGTTCTTAACTTTATATTGTACCAAGTTAATTCTTTACTTTTGATAAATGTTCTCTTATTGTTGTTGTTGTTGTTTAGTACACTTTATTCTTTTAGAGCAGTTTCAGGTTCACAACAGAATTGAGCAGAATTCTCTGGTTTAAGACATCAACATAAAGGGAAGCTGGGGAAGGGTATATAGGAACTCATATCAATTTTTGCAACTATTCTGTAAATCTATAGAATTTTAAAAAAATAGTTCCATTACTGTTATAAGACATCGCCTGTGTCTTAAAATTTTTCTCTTTAATTTCAACATGCATATTTATACTATAAGTTCTCAAAGAGTGTCTGTAGACCAGCAGCACTAACATCAATGGGGAACTTGTTAAAAATGCAAATTCTCAGAAGCTCTGGGAATGAGACTTAGCAGTCTGTGTTTTAATAAGCCCTCTACTTGATTCTGATGTGCACTAATGTTTGAGAGCCATGACTTCTACCATCAGTTAAAACTTAAGACTAAAAGGAAACATTCTTATTAATATATTGGGCAGTTTGAGTACCATAAAGTATAATCAGTGGGTTTTTTTAATTGTGGTAAAACACACGTAACAACATTTATTGTCTTAGCTGTTTTTAAATATACCGTTCAGTGGTATTAAATACATTCACACTGTTGTGTAACCATCACCCCCATCCATCCCCATAACTCTTAACATCTTGTAAAACTGAACTGTACTCATTAAACAGTCACTCCCTATTCTCCCCTTCTCCCAGCCCCTGGAAACCACCATTCTACTTTCTGTCTCTATGATTTTTGACTAAGTATCTCATATAAGTGGAATCATACAGTATTTGTCTTTTTGTGACTGGCTATATATTCACTTGGCATAATGTCCTTAGGTTTCATTCATGTTGTAGTACATGTCAGAATTTCTTTCCTTTTTAAGGCTGAATGTGTACCTACCACATTTTGCTTATCTATTCATCCATCAGTGAACACTGGGTTACTTCCATATTTTAGCTATTATAGGTAATGCTGCTGTGAACACAGATGTACAAACATCTCATCAAGACTCTGCTTTCAGTTTTTTGGGGTATATACCCAGAAGTAGAATTGTTTGATCATATGGCAATTCTATTTTTAATGTTTTGAGAAACCACCACCATACTTTTTTCCACAGTGGCTTTACCATTTAACATTCCCACTAACAGTGCACAAGGGTTCCGGTTTCTCCACATCCTGACCAACACTTGTTGTTTTCTGTTTGTTTTTACTGTAACCATCCTAATGGGTGTGAGTTGGTATCTCATTGTAGTTTTGATTTGCATTGCTCTGATGATTAGTGATGTGGAGCATCTTTTCATGTGCTTCTTGGCCATTTGTATATCTTCTTGGATAAATGTCTATTCAAGTTCTTTACCATTTTTTGAATAACTAACACCCCTACCTTTCATACATATAGTGAAATCACTGCTGCTCTCACATACTTGTTCATGGGCACGTCAGTGGCTCTTTTGATCTCTCACTTTACTTTTCCTGTCTACCTTATCCCTCTGCTCCCATAAATCTGGAATTCATACATGGGATCTATTTATGTGTTGATTTTGAGGAATAGGGAGAATTTGAAAACTGTATGACAGTATTTCAATATTTAAACCAAAATTTTTTTTTTACAGACTTACAACAGCTGTGCCAGACTCTGCTTAAATCAAGAGACAGTATGTCTAGCAAGCACTGCTATGAAGACTGAAAATTGTGTGGCCAAAGTAAGTAATATTCCACATCAGTATATATTATACCACATCATAACAATGATTTATCTATGAATATCTTTACTCAGTATTGCTATTAAAGACTGTTATAAGATTTTATATTTAAAAAATAGTATAGCAGGCATCATTTTATCCAAAGCAGGTTGCAGGTTGGAGTCTGAATCTCTGCAGTTGCAGCAGATTTTTCAATTTTGTGTTTTGGTTGCATTTTAGTCTAATTCACAGTTGTTGCTTGATACTAGTTATGGGATTATTACAAATAATATTTGTGTAAAAATTTTACAATTATAATTTTGTTGGTAGTTTTTAAATGTAATTAAGTATAGAGTACACCATTGTAAGGATTGTGAAATATACTATAGAAATCAAATTTTTATATCACTATTATTATTTATTGAGTGGCTATTGATAAAGACACTGTTTTTGGTGATCTTGATCTGATTGGACAAGTATGTTTAATCATGCATGTGGAGCTACTTGTTTCTTATGTATAAATGTGTGCCAAATCTGTAGTCTAGACACAAAAATAATCTTATGTATTAGAGATTTATGATCTAATAATTGTATCTGCTGTACCTCAGGTTTTCCATGTATCTCTAGTTTCACTCAGGAACTTTGACCTAAATTTAAGTAGCCATTTTGATTATTCCAGGAATAAGTAAAATTCCAGTGTGGTCTCTGTTTCTAGACTTTCACTCTGCATATCTGCAAAATTATTGCCTTTTGGAACTATTCAGGGATTTGTCACTGTGACAACATTCCCAACTTTAACTAGTTTAATCTATTGTATTATACACTCAGGCTCCCTGTTACTTACTTTTATTATTAGAGCCAGGCTTGGTATTATGCAGTCTCCATTCTTTGCTACAAAAATCAGAGGACAACAATATTTTTTATTATTTTAATTTCTTAAAACATGAAGTAATTTCTATAGTAGTTTCCTAGTTTATCAACTGAAAGTATGTCATACAAAATATAACCATTGGAAATGATCCATGTAAGAAATCAGAATTTATTTAAAATTATAATGAAAAAAGATAGAGTTAATCAGTTAAATGTCTCTTAAATTAGATTATATTAATAATCTGCTGCAAAACATAAGTATTATAAATTACATATAGGTTTTTTTTTTCAGTCATTTTGTCACAACTAGCAAATGCCGATTGACCTTATTTTGTATCCAGCACTTGTACATTGAGATGAGGGACCAATAATTTGGGCCTTTTAAAAATAATCTTTTTCCTTTTTTGGCCACGCTGTTCTCAGTTTCATCACAAGTGAGTGACTTCTGGCTAAACAAGGTAAAATCTTAGCATGAGCACCGATCCAAGGACAGGGTGATGATTTTAATGAGTTTCATTGAGAGCTGGCCAAGTGAGCATCTGTTCCTTTTGTTTTCTCAATACTTTGTAAGCCAGGATCTGTAAGCTACGTAGTTATGTTGGTGTGTATCTGTATGATTTTTTTTCTCCTACCCTCTACTTCAGTGGTGCATGGTTAAAAATCTTGTGGCATCTGGCACAATGGCATAATTTCTTCTATGCTCTTGGGTGAGAAAATAAGTTTGCTCATTGCTGTTCATCAGTCTGTTTCCTTTGCTCCCAGATGGTGACCCTCTCATCCCATTCTTGTTTATTTTAACATTATTCTGCCACCTATATCCTTCCATCATCTCCTTAAACACCCTAATTTAATAATGATTTCTATCATTTTCTATTGGAACGCTATTGAAACTAACTTTCTGGTTCCTTTTATTGGTCCACGTCTTTGTCTTCTGGTTCATTGCTTCAGATTTGAGCCAAATAATCAGTTGGTCAATGGCAAATAAAAACATGTAGCTGAAAAAATTTCTTTTCTGTGACAGCCTCCAGTGAGGTACCGATAACACAGGAATAGGAAAAGAATTTTCCCTTTTTATTTACATGTGTTATATATATCTCATGATTCTGTGCTGTTTCTATTGGCCTCATTTGTTGCTTGACCTTTGAAAGGTAGACTTGCCATTATTTTTGTAGGTTTTTAAGCTTAGCCCTATTTCTTGCTTTTCACCTGTAGCCCTTAACTGAATAGTTTCACCTGCTATACTTGATCTAGATACAGTAGTTTTTAACTTGGTACAACATAGTCTGTTGTTGATTCAGATTGTGCTCCAAAGCGGCCTTGAATGTCCAATCACCTCCATGTGAAAGCAACTGTATGCCCTCTACCACTGAGCTATACCCTCCCCCTGTTATAATAGAGTGATATCAATCATTTTTGTCCATTAATTCAAAGCAACTAATTCTGATAAGAGTGACTTTAGTTTGGATGGAGATAGTAATTAAAATCTAAGACCTTATTATTGAATATTGTTTATATTATTTTTAGAGAAGATATTAATGCCAGTTTCGTCCCTTTAAAAATAGCAGTGTTGTTAATATTTGGATCCCTTATAGTACATTGTATGTGACTCTGCTTTGCCTGAGATATCTTACAATAAATGCTTTACAATAGGCCTGTGAAAAGAGACCCTGGTCCTCTTTAGAACATAAGAAAACAAAGTTGTAAGGCAAACTACAGCCACCCTAGGTTAATAATAATTTTCTTAATTTCTAACTTTAAGATTGGATCTTAAGAAAATGTTTTGAAATAAAAATGGAGGAATTATTTTGTAGTATAACTTAATTCAAGTAATATTTGGAGGCAGTGAGGTATCTTTTATTTCTTCCAAAGCCTGCCTTCTTACTAATTACAGCCGTATAGTTTGTGAGATTTGTGTTTGGAACATGATAAGCTCTGTGTTTATTGTAGCTTTAAATGGACAGTCAGTATTGACTGCCAACTTAGTCTTTAAAATCAATAATCATGTTGTATCTAATTGTCAACTTTCATGACGTTTTTTTAATTGGTAAAGAAAGCTAACTGGAAAAATGAAGAGCATAGTTTTATGTTATCTTTTTATTGACTTTATTGAAATATTATTGAAAAAAATTTTGGTCTCAGGCTTTTCCCTCACTTACCCTTCCACACACACATACACATACAGTTAAAATTGAATTGTTCTGAGTTTATCTACCTAGATTCCTGCTTGGGAGAGAAGTTCTACTTGATGTTTAGAAAATAAACCCCTTCCATAGGGCTTTGTAGATAGATGTGTTCTCTATTGTAGTTGTTGTTGTTTGTTGTTATTGTTTTTTACTTCAGACTAATAATCTGTTTGCAAATGACTGAGACAGAAAAATGTGATGTTCCTTTCCACTTACTCCAGATTTTGATAGAAGACTTGTTTTATTTATTTCCAAAATTATATCCGCAGGAAACAAGCTGTTTAAATTCAGATTATGCTGAAGCAAAATGGTCCTGGTATGAGAAGCAACGTGCTGTTTTACGAGCACAGAGTCCCTTTTCTCATAACTGATTGATAGTAAATATTTTCCTGAAGAATTATTGCCAACCATGAACAGTGCAACTGTTTCACTTTTTTTCCCTGCTACTTGCTGTACCAGCCATTGTCGGTAATTAAGATCTACAATTCACAATGCAGACGTTTGCACTTCCTCTGGGTCTGTGCTATTTATAAGGCGTTTCAGCTGTTCAGAGTTTCTTTTGAGTTTTAAACTACATGTTAACAGGCTTCTTTAATATACTGTTCCACAAGTAGCATGTCAGATGGTCCTTTCTGTTCTCCTCTGCCGGGTCTAAGCAGTAGCTTTGTGGAGAATATATTAAGATTTAACCATACTATTGAGGCTGATATTGTAGGAAAAACCCTGAAATATCACACAATTAGGCTTATTGCTGTTTTAAAAAAGCAGAAATAAAGTTCAGTAATATTTTTTCTTTCAAGTGTTCATATAAATTGAAAGAGTGTTAATGGGGATTATAGTGAGGTTCTGAGAAATACTAGTAAAGTGATTTTTCCAAGCTCACTTTGACGTCATAGAATCGAGGACCCTCGTTTCAGACGAGAGTTGCATGTTTGTCAGCTTAAGAATGCAAGAATACGTAACTCTCTAGCTGTGTGTGATATCTAAGAATACAGGCGTGATGCATCAAAATGGATCAGCAGATTGACTGCACATTTGTTGTGTAATCAGCTTCAGGATCCCTAAGTAGCATATGCTGCTGGAGGGAAAAGTGTAAACAGGAATCCTGGCCTGTATTAAAATTGGTAAAATTCAAAGTCATTTTCAACCATTTCAAGAGAATTAGTTTTAAAAAATTAAAAATAAAAACCAGACTGCATTGAGAATCTTCGTGAACTATGGCCTACAGTCAAAGTAACTGCTTACACAGTCTCCTTGCTACCTGCACTCATTGTTAAACATACAAGAAAAAGAAACAAGAACTAAAAGCTGTCAACAAAATATGGTTAAAACTTTGCCCTGAGTGGAAATCAGATTGACTGTTTTTAAGGCTGAAGTCAGCGGCAGTTCTGCACGTTGGCCTCCAGCATCTTCCAGCAGAGCAGATCTGTGGAGAAAGGCAGGACACAGGTTTCTGTGCTCATTTCTTCATGGCTTCTTGAATAGATAGAGCATATAAGAAACATTTCCAAGGCAGTTTTATTTGCCAGAACATAAAACTTTGTGTAGTTCTTTTGAACTACAGTGTTGCTGTACACTTCTTTTCTTCAGTGAACTCTTTATGAACCTTTTTTTAGATAGCAGCAGAGGTTCAACTGTTGGGAACCACTGATATATCTGACTGAGAGCTTCAAGATGCTAGAACCTATTCACATTTCTGTCTAGCCAGGGAGCTAATAAGATTGAGTTTGTCTTTGTGGATTGATCTAGATTAGCATGAGATGAGCCCAGTAAATGTCTTCCTCGGTGTAAAGGAAAGATTGGGAGAGAGAGGGGTGAAGCAAGAAAGTTCTTCATCGAGAACTGACTGCAGTATTGCCTGCTGATGCATGTCGGATCGCCCGCACCGACAGATCACATGGCTTCTCCAAAAGTCAAACGATCAATTCGCCTCGTTTTGGCTCTGTACTTAATGCACAAACAGTGCGA